GCGGCTCTGGTCCAGCAGTCATCTTCAAATCGCATTATGTGTCCTGCCCATCTGATTTTTGACGCCTTGGCAAATGAGACAGTGTCCCTGATTCTCGATCATTGACGGAAGTCGGATCTCCAGATTCCTTCTCTCACTTGAGTGAAGCGTGATACTCCAAGCATAGCTCTTTTGATTCCTCTTTGGGAGACCCAAATAGCGTTCTCATCCTGTTTTCGTAGGTCCCAGGTCTCTGAGGTGTATGTTAGTGTAGGAAGAACGGTGGAGTCGAAGAAATGTCCATGGAGCCAGATGTTCTTAGTCCTCTTAGCTATTTCTTCAACGTTCTTGAAGGTGTTCCACACCGCTCTATTCCTCCTGTGCAGCTCAGGTGCCAGGTTGTTCGTCTTGTTATGTTCTCGACCTAGGTATACATAACTGCCAGGAACTAGTCCATTTTTCATGAACATTGTCTTTGTGAGGTTCAGCTGCAGTCTGACCTTTTCATGCTCACGGTCAAAGTCGTCCAGCAGTTGTGATGCTTGGTTAATGTTTGCTGTTATTAGAACGATGTCATCAGCGAAGCAGAGGTGGTGCAGTTGCTGACTGTATATCTTTACTCCCATTCCTTCCCATTCCAGTCATCACATGACGTTCTTGACGGTGGCACTGAAGAGTGTCAGTGAAATGGTATCGCTCTGCCAAACCCCTCTCTTAACATCGATGATCACTTTCTTGTAGAATGGTGAGATCCTAGTGGTGAATCCGTAATACAGCCACAGAGGATCCTGATGTACTGAGTTTGACTGCCCTGTTGGGCTAGGGCTTCGATGACCACGTCAGTCTCAACAGAATAAAAGGCCTTTTTTAAATCGATGAACGTTAGGCAGAGTGGCATCTTTGGCATCTTAAACTCTTGCAAAATCTCAGTGAGCGTAGTGTGGATATGGTCGATCATGCTGAATCTCTTTCGGAACTCGGCTTGCACGCATGGTTGTCCATCATCTAGTGTTCTGCCAATCCTATTCAGGATGACAGCTTGTAGATGGCGGACAATAGGCAGATCAGGCGATAGTTGCCAATGTCGTGGATGTCTCCCTTCTTGTACAACGGAATGGTCCTGCTGGTTTTCCATTGGGAAGGAACCTTGCATCCAGATAGGTAGAGTGTGAAGAGCCAAGCCAGTGTATTGACCAGTACTGGTGTCAGATTCTTCAGGTGTTTGGGTCTGACCTTGTCTGGGCCAGGTTCTGTACACTTCTTTACCAACGAAATGGTGTGTCGGATTTCGGAAAGGAGGACGTTGGGAACGACATATCCATCCTGTGGAATTTGGTATGTGGGCACTTGGACATGGCTGTTGAAGTGATCCAAGTAGAAGTTGTGAACAATCTTCTCCATTTCCCTTCTGGAAGATGTGATAGATCAATCAGGACATCGGAGGGCAGTCATCTTGGTCTTACTTATAGTTGGCGAAGGACAGGCAGGTGTTGCGAATATTTTTCCCAGCTTCTGCCGCATCAGACAACACTATTGCTCTTCTCTCTTTGAGGTCTTCCTTTATCGCTTTTCTGCACAGCTTTGCGAGCTCGGACATTAGCTTGTGATTGCCAGAGGCTTGCTGCAAACCACGTTGGCAAATGAGCTCAAGAGTTTCCTAAGACAGGCATCTGTTTGTGACTTTCCCACTCTTGGCATTCCTTGAGCAGTCATGGAGGTGCTGAACCAGTCAATTGGATTCCTCGTTGATGTCAGCGACGGCATCTTCCTACGTTGCCTCAATAGTGCCAAAGAGCTCCCGTTTGGTGGTCATTCTGGAAGTTCTCTTCTTAAACTTTGCAGTCCCTCCTCCTTGCTCCATAAAGTAGAATTTTGCATGAAGGAGATGGTTGTCCGATCCGTTTTGGAATTTTGGGACAACAGCATCATCAGTCAGGCAAAACAGTCCATTGAAAATGATGTAGTCAATTTCACTGTGGAACTGTCCACCAGGAGACTCCCATGTCCAATGTTTAGAATTTGGCCTTCTGGAACTGTGAGTTACCATGTATGGTCTTGGTCAACATGATGAACTCAGACCGTCTCTCACCCTGTTCGTTCCATTCTAGGCCATTGGTCCCGATGTGGAGTTCTTTGGGCAACCTTCTCAGTCCTATCTTGGCATTAAAATAACCTACAATGATCTTGTAGGAGGTGTGGTCTTCTTTATAGAACTTCCCCAGCTCCATGTAGAACTTCTCAATACCTTCTTCATCGTAGTTGGATGCTGGTGCATAGACGATGAAGATGGAAACTGCCAGCAGTGAGCCACATCTATTCAAGCATAATCGTCTGATTTGGGTTGTTAGGCATTCATATGAATCAATGCTCATGGCCAAGTTCATGTTGACCAGGACACCAACACCACCGATGCCTCTATTGTCACATGTTCCGAGGAACAGTTCTTCTCCAGTGTTGTAAATGGCATGATGTGATCGATGCCTTCTCATCTCGGTCAGACCAATGATGTCATACTTAATCTGCGATTGCACCATCAGGTCCTTGATGGGTGCTTCGGATGCTAGCGTACGTTCGTTGAAAGTAAAGTCATTTTAGTCCTTCGTTTTGGCAGCCTAGTTCGGCCCTGAGATTTTATCAGCCTCTCTTTGTTTATCCTTATTAACACTGCCGTATTGGGGGCTCTTTCAGGTCAGGGCAATGAGGCCCATTGTTTTTACTGTTTTTGGCATATCAAATATGCCACGGGTACGTGCCTGGAGTCCAAGGTCACAAAGTCCCACCTCACCTGCTTCTGTGAGGCTACACTCATGTGCGAGGTCGGCAGGAGCTTGCCAGGCTCTGCCGTGTGGGCGGGATACTCTCTGTAGCTTGCCAGGCTCTCTGAGAGGGATGGAGGCTTTTAGGGAGGCCTCTAATCACCATTACAGGCATTCCCATAGTTCACACCATATTTGAACCCCATCAAATGTGGTGCAGTAATTTTGGAAAATGGGTATTAAGTGTCTTATGCTGTGTTGCATGCCGCTTTGTGGCCACACTGTCCAGAAAGCGGCCTGCAGCATGGGGGCAGCTGCGTAGTGGAGGTCAGCAGATGAGGTATTTATCTGGCACCTGCAGGGTGGGTATTATGGGCATGATCCCTGGGTCTCCAGAGATTGGGGGAAGCAGGCAGAGGATCTCTGTTTCCGGGCCCCATTGAGTCTGGAGTCCAAGGTCACAAAGTCCCACCTCACCTGGTTCTGTGGGGCTACACTCATGCGTGAGGCTTGGCCTGAGCATCTGGAAAGCAGCCTGGAGCGTGGCATATATATATATATATATATATATATATATATATATATCTGTATCTATATCTATCTATCTATGTATCTATCTATCTATCTATCCTGCAAGGGTATGCCAATGTTTCTTGAATAGAGTTTACTGAAAATTTCTTTCCGTTTTTTTTTCCCTCCTGTGTATTTCTTTGCTTGTTTTAAAGAGTTTGCATGTTTTTAAAAGAAGAAAATTCATTCTAGCATCTTGGAACAAAATCTTTTGTCAAAAATGAACTGCTTCTGGTACTGGAGTGATAATATAGCAGGAAAGGTGCGTGCTTTGCAGGCGGCTGACCAAGGTTCGATGCCTGGCATTCCATATGGTCCCCAAAGCACCACCAGGAGTAATCCCTGAGCATTCCTGGGTGTGACCCACAAACCAAAGAAAGAAAGAAAAGAGAGAGGAACTGAGGGAGGGAGGGCAGGAACTGGTTCATTTGACCAATATATCCATAATGTTATTTCTGAAGTATCTAGTAAATACCCGATATTGTCAGACCAGTGACAGTCAGGTGACCCTGGCATTCAAGAAGCTGAAAGTCCAGGAGACTGACAGGTGAGTCCGTGATCACATACAGCGTGACAAAGGTCTGGGCACAAAGATCTCTGTGGGAATGACTGGTAAGAAGACAGCTTCTAACAGCTCCTCTTCCATTGACCATGTCTTCTTTGTCCAAAACCAAGGATTGACCCTATTTTAATCTTTAGCTGGGTGTGTTGTCATGAAGTAGTTTGAATTTCTCAGGGTGTAAGAAACATTTTGAATTGTAGAGGCATCCATTAGAAATAATATTTGCTGCAGAGCAAGGACTTCTGCAGACATCATCACTCCTAGGTTTTTATTTCTTCTTTGGGGTTGATGGGGAGACATGCCCAGTGGTGCCCAGCGCTTACTCCTGACGCTGTGTTCAGGGATCACTCCTGGTGTGTTCCAGGGCCTGTGTAAGGTTCCAGGAATGAAACACAAGTGGGCTGCATGCAAGGCAAGTGCCCCACTTGCTGTTCTATTTGGTCCCTATTCCTAGAGTTTTCAACTTGGAAAAATTTGTCAGCATATTTTTTCTTTGCTCTACATTTATTTTCTCCCCCCCCCCCCCCGGTTCCCCTTCACTTTGTCATCTAGAGACTTGGGTGTTTCTCAAAGGGAGAATGCTTGGGGCTGGAGCAATACCACAGCGGGTAGGGTGTTTGCCTTGCACGCGGCTGACACGGGTTAAATTCCCAGCATTCCATATGTTCCCCCCGAACACCAGCAGGGGTAATTCCTAAGCGCATGAGCCACGAGTAACCCCTGTGCATCGCCAGGTGTGACCCAAAAAGAAAAAAAAAAGAATGCTTTATGGATTCTAAGCGTGATTATAAATAATCACAGAAAATAATGTTTTTTCACCTTCAAATTTCATGCCAATGGCTGGAGCGATAGCACAGTGGGTAGGGCGTTCACCTTACAAGCGACCAACATGGCCGACCCGAGTTCGATTCCTCTGCCCCTCTCGGAGAGCCCGGCAAGCTACCGAGAGTATTCGATATGCCAGACACAGTAACAACAAAGTCTCCAATGGAGACGTTACTGGGCCCGCTCGAGCAAATCGACGATCAACGGGAGGGCCTTTACCTTTACCTTTACCTTTTCATGCCAATAAATTAAATATAAATTTTAATGCTACATACTGATTATGCATATAATTTTAATTCTTTTTTTAGAATTCTCAGCCATAATCCCCTAACAACTATTGAAGATTTTTATCTTTTTAAATTGCCAGCATTAAAATATCTGTAAGTATTGTAATAAGTTTGTAGCTTATATGGTTTCTGCTATGATTTGCTGTTTTTATTTTTCTCCACTTTTGTCAAAGATAGAGTGTTTTGCATTGAATTTAAAAGTTATAATTTTAATTTTAACACTGGATTATTGAAATGACAGTTATTCTCAAAGGAAAAGATTAAGAAAGAATGACATGGGCAACAGCCAACAGAGGAAAAGAGCTATGTTGAGTACATATAGATAAGAAACATACAGATGCGTGTAGAAGTATTATTTATTCAGAAAGTAACAAGTAATAATGGACACATTATTGAAAAAAGAAAGTAAAGAAAAGAGGACCAGATAGGTGAGTGGTTGGAGCCCATGCACTGCTTGCTTGGAGGCCTGGATTCAACCTCTGACCCCTTATGTGTTCCCCAGAACTCTACTCAGAGTAACCCACAAGTACAGTGCCCAACATATCCCCCATGTACCATCAGATGTGGCCAAAATCCAAGGCCACCCGCAGCTCACATGAAAAAGAATCATTGAAAGGAGTAGATGCAATTTAGAAGTCGGACAAGGAAGGAAGGAAGGAAGGAAGGAAGGAAGGAAGGAAGGAAGGAAGGAAGGAAGGAGGGAGGGAGGGAAGGAGGGAGGGAAGGAGAGGAGAGAGGGAGGGAAAAAGGAAGGAGGGAGGGAGGGAGGGAGAAGGAAGGAAGGAGGGAGGGAGGAAGGAAGGAAGGAAGGAAATTTTTTTATTCTCCAAAGTGTCATTAATTTGATGATAGAAAAGGCTTTTATCAGCAAGAGCTCTCTGGAATTATAGTCTACAGCAAACAGTTGACCTGGATTTACAGCAAAGCCAGAATCAAAGTTATCACTTCATTTATCTCATCTATTTAACTCTAGAGCTTCTGTATTTGGATTCACATCATGCTTGTGCTTTCTCCCTCAGAGACATGGGAGCAACACAAGTGTCACTTGCAGCAGTTCAAAACATCCTCATGATGAATCTTAAATTAGAAAAGCTGTAAGTTGATTTTCTGACATTTATTTCACTTAATTTTTTTAAGGCTTGTTTATTTCTTTCTCTCTCTCTCTCTCTCTCTCTCTCTCTCTCTCTCTCTTCTCTCTCTCAGTCTCTCTCCCTCTTTTTGTAGGGGTACTGGTATTTATTCAGCCATTGATTCAGCTAATTGAATTTGGCATGAACTCCACATTACTTTATTTTCAGAATGGTAATTTTATTTATTATTTTTTTAAATCATTGAATCCGTGAGATACAGTTACAAAGCTTCCCTGTTTGAGTTTCAGTCATACAATGATAGGACACCCAACCCTCCACCAGTGCACATCTTCCACCACCAATGTCCCCAGTATACCCGCCCCCGTCCCACCCCTCCCCCTGCCTCTATGGCAGACAATTTCCCTCATACTCTCTTTTGTATTGCTTGTTATGAATAGTACAATGCCATTCGGCCACAAAAGTGGCTGTGTGTTCCTGGAATTCTAAAGTTTTAGATAATTAGGATGGGGAGAAGGCAGAGAGCTGCTCAGTTCAGAAATTCTTTTGTGTATCTCTGGATCATGACCATTAAGGAGCTTAAGTAGCAGCCAGAGGCAGTTTGTGGGCATGACCTCCAGAGTCCCACCTGCCCCCTAAAAATCCCAGGGGCCACCAACATCCAGAACCCAATGAGAAGTGCAGGTATGCAGTTTCAGTGACAGCAAACTCCAGGCCTCCAGGGATAGGGGATGGGCCTGTCTCTCTCATTCCGCCCCCTACTCCTGTGGGACCCAGCCCGGCAGTCGACCTCCACAACCCAACCACCACCATGCTTCTGGCCACTCCCCTCTCACTCGGGCTGAGTCTCACGCATGAGTGAAGTCCCAAGGAACTCAGGTAATGTGGAACTTTGTGAGCTTGGATTCTGGGCTCAACAGGACCCAGGAGCAGAGATCCTCTGCCTGTTTCCCCCAGTCTTCAGTGACACAGGGGTCACTCCCAGAAGCCACCTCCTGCCAGCGCTAGATAATCTCGTCATCAGCCAGCATCCAGATCACAGGGCTACTTCTCCCAGAAGGGAACATAACATGAGGACCCCATAGCCGTGCCACCAGACTTGGTGCCAGGCTGATGGTAGAGACCTAATCAAACCCAAAGAAGAAGGCACAAATTTTCCTGAATATGTTATCAGGGTGGAAGGGATGCCTATCTGCACTAGCAACGGGAGTCATTGCTTAAAACACACACGCAGTACTGAATGGCTGAATATCACAATTCTACTGAATCTGATAAAAAGCCATTGCTTAAAAAAAAAAAAAAGCCATTGTTATTGCTCGCAGCAAATGGATTTCTGGATACTGGAAGTGAAAGTTATGATACTCTACCATCTCTGCCTCCTATGTGAACTCCCTAAAGTTATTGAATTAGAAAACTGGATATATTGGAAACGATGTAAAGGAGAAAAAGCTAGAATCTAGATTGATTCCTCTTATGGAAAAACTATTGATTGGAGTCCAGTAGGCTCAGCCTGGGCAAAAGGAGCTAAAGAATATTCTGAATTGGGGAGCAATACAAGGCTCCGAAGTGTCCCAAATTATAATTAACTCTAATATTAGCATAAGCCATAAGCCACACCCTGCCAGCGCCAGATAACCTCGTCATAGGCTACCCTCCAGACCTCATAGCTGTTCCTCCAGAAGGGAGCATAAAATGAGGCCCCCATAACCATGCCACTGGACTCCGTGCCAGGCTGTTTTCACTTGGGGCACCCCAAAGGACCCAGCCCCAGCAGTGACCTCCACTACCCAACTGCTGCCATGCTCAGGCCACTTTCCATATGCTCGGGCTGAGCCTCACGGATGAGTGAAGTCCTACGGAACCCAGGTAATGCAGAACTTTATGACCTTGGACTCCGGGCTTAAACGGTAGCCAGGAGCAGAGATCCTCTGCCCGCTTCCTCCAGTCTCCGGTGACCCACGGGTCACACCGATAAGCCACACCCTGCTTGTGCCAGATAATCTTCTCATCGGCCACCCTCCAGAAGGGAGCATAAAATGAGGACCCCATATCCATGACACCAGACTCTGCACCAGGCTTTTTTCATGCAGGATGCCCCAGAGGGGGACGAGTGAGAGCCCTCCCCGCCCCAAGGGACCCAGCCCCAGCAACTGACCTCCACAACCCAACCGCAGCCACGCTCCAGGCCGCTCCCTACTTGCTTGGGCCGAGCCTCACATGAGTGAACATATTCCTGGACCGCACGGCTGCGACATATCACAAGACACTTCCTACCCATTCTCCATAATTGCCACACCAGATTTGATGGGGTTCAGACAGAAAGCAACAACTTACCTATCTAGATAGATAGATAGATAGATAGATAGATAAGATAGATACCTCTTGGAGAGCACAGCAAGCTACCAAGAGTCCACCTGTACATCAGAGCCTGGCAAGCAAGCCATGACATATTCGATATGCCAAAAGTGTAGCAATAAAGGGTCTCATTCCCCTGACCCAGAAAGAGCCTCCAATATGTTGGGAAAGATGAGTAAGGAGAGGCTGCTAAAATCTCAGGGCTGGGACGAATGGAGACGTTACTGGTGCCCACTTGATTAAACCGATGAACAAGGGGATGACAGTGATACAGTGAATATTGGCATAATGGGGTGCGGAGGTAGCTTTCCGCCTCCTACACCCTTCCTTCCTGGGCATAAGAAACAAAATCATCTATGGAAAATAGGGAATTCCTTTGGATACATGACAGCCCGGACAGTTTTATCCAACATAACAATGTCGGAACAAAACGTACTTTACATTTTGATAGAAATCTTACCCGCTATATACAGGCTTGTGTTCCACTGCCATATGCCATGCTGAAAGGGAGAATTAGCTGGGATAAAGTAGCAGAGGTAATATCTTGCAGTGACTGCTCTATGTTCACTTGTATTAATAACACTATGAGTCTCACAGCAGAAGAAAGCATCTATCTTCTTAGAGCTTCCATGGGGGTCTAGATGCCTGTGTGGCTTAACCGTTTGTGGGAAGACAGTCCAGCTACCAACATTCTTCGCCGGCTGGTCACTCCCCTGGCGCCACACACAAAGAGGTTTGTAGGACTCGTAATTGCCATTATCATGGGACTCGTTGCCATCACTGCTACAGCAGCAACGGCTCATATTGCATTGAGGCAAGGATCTCAGACTGCTGAGTTTGTTAAGAAATGGCACGAGGGGGCTGGAGCGATAGCACAGCAGGTAGGGCATTTTCCTTGCATGTGGCTGACCCTGGTTCGATTCCCAGCATCCCATATGTTCCCCTGAACACTGCCAGGAGTAATTTCTGAGTGCAGAGCCAGGAGTAACCCCTGTGCATCTCCAGGTGTGACCCAAAAAGCAAAAAGAAGAAGAAAGAAAGAAAGAAAGAAAGAAAGAAAGAAAGAAAGAAAGGGCATCAGGACTCTCAGAAACTGTGGACAACCCAGTGACAAGTTGATGCAGGATTACAAGAGGAATTGTCCGATGTTACACGAACTGTTACCCTACTCGGTGACCAGCTACCGAGTTTAAGAAGACAACACACTCTAAAATGTGATTGGAATACTTCTGCATTTGTATAACTCCTGTACCTTATTATGAGTCTGAATCTCCATGGGAAAAGGTTAAAAAGTATTTGTTAAACCATCAAAAATATGACCGACAAAATTATAGAGTTGCAAACTAACATTCACTGTGTATTTCAGGCCCACTTGCAAGTCTGGGGACCTGATACCATTGGGGGTGGATTGTTGGATGGGATCACTCAACTAAATCCTAAGAAGTATATTCTAGTCCTTGTGATGGGCTTTATTAGTATGTCTGTACTTATTGTTCTGTTGTTTCTTTTTTACATAGCCTGCCAAAAATTCAGAAAACAAAACAGAATAGCCCAATAACAACACGCTGCACATGTCGTCATGAAGGCTAAGCTGGCTGCAAAACAAAAAGGGGGAGACGTTGGAGCCCGACCAGAGTCATGAGGAAGTTCCTACAGACACTGCCTTGCTTTCAGTGTCATGCTGGAAGCAGCTTGGAACTCTGATTGAACTGGGCAGGGGTCAGCATGTCATGATGCAGCTACTCCTTGACACTGATTGATTACGCTATGCTTTGTTTAGGCAAAGTTAGAGGGGACATCCTGTCTAGACGGAAATGTAGATGATTGAAATATGGGGATGGGAGGTTAATCATCGACAGAGCAAGATCAATAGCCTTTTGTCCACATGGATTTGGTGATGCATCCCCTAGTGTACTGTATTACAATAAAAGAAGGTTGCTGGGTTTGATTAATGCCATTTGTCTGAGAGAACTCTTGGCCCTCCACGCTACCTCATTCCATGAATGTTGCTTATCTCTGTGCCCCCGACTGATCACTCCATAGAGAAATAACACCCCAGGTTGTAACTGATGTTTTTTTATTGTTATCTGGGAGCTGAAGAGATAGGATAGTGAGTTAGGTATTTGATTTGCATGTGACTAACCCACATTCAGCCTCTCGCACTGCCTATGGTTTCCCGAGCCTGCTAGGAATGATCCCTGAGCCAAGAGCCCAGAGCAACCCCTGAGCACCACCAGATATGACCAAAAAACAAAACTCAGTTTTCTGAGGGCTGGAGCAATAGTACACGCTTTGCATGCATCACCTCCCAGTTGGGTTCCCACCACCTCAGAGTTTGAGCAACACCTCATCCATGTTTCTCAGGAACTTTTTCAATAGCTGCTCAGTGGCCTTGACTGCCTCTTCTACCTATTTAAAGTAACCTCTTGACTCTGCACTTAATTCTCTGTGTTTCCATTCATAGGATCTTACCTAACCATCTAACCTGCTGCCTCTGCCAATTTAAAAATAATATTGACGTTGTCTACAAGACAGTCAAACTACGTTGTGACAGTGAATGTCTTATCAGCACACACTGTGGTGAGTTGGATTGCCTGCTGATAGGTTTTTAATTTATGTTTCATTTTTATTTTAATCACTGATGGTACATTTGAAGCTGATTATGGAGTGCATTATTTTTATTCAGAGTTCAACTCCCTATATTTCCATGAGCTATTTCCCTTGGCAAAAGTCAGAATCTCAGCCACATCATTACCTTCGCAGTATATGAATGACCTGAAGGTTTAAGAGGAATGGAAGAAAGGGATGGAAGTGGGAAAGGGAGCTATCATTCATGGTCACAACTGAGTGCCACACTCTGGGCAAGGTGTTGGTCCTCCAGATGAGAGCTCAGCCACACAATGCAGTTTGCAAACAGATTTTATACACAAGAAATATCAGTTGCCCTTTTCTTTATAGGACTGGTGTAGCTACCTTATTGCATGTGTTTTTATAATTTTATAGGCAAGTACAAGTCATACTATCTTATGAACGTTTTGCTTAGAGCCTGAGAAATTCTGGTTTTCTAAGCATAGGCTGCCACTCAGTCCTTCTAACGATGGATTCTTAGAGCATCCCCACCTCCAAACCTACTTTGAATTTTAACCCTTCAAATCCACAAAGCACTCAGGTGCCCTTATATATTTCCACATAGTAAGTTTACTTGATAACTTCCGCAATGTCCTTTTAGGGGCCCAGGAAAATAGATCAATAGGTTGCAACACATGCTTTTCATGTGGGAGGTGTGGGTTCAATCCCCCCATAAAATAATTTTCGAAGAACTGCTGGGAGTATTCCTTGGGCACTGCTGTATGGCGAATGCATGAGCACATGCGCACACACAACGCACACACACACAACACACACACACACACATACACCACCCATAAAACGTATTTTCATGCCGGGATATTATGAATCTGCTTCGCTATCAGCAGTTCGGCACATCAGATTACATTGCTTCTTACACAAAGATGTTATTTTTAAAATCAACTTTTAACATGTCTATTACTCTCTTCTCAGAGATGGGCATAACAAGATTTACGAATCACCTTTCATAACATGAACATCAAACCTGGGGATTTGTTGGGGGGGGGCGGGGAAAGAGTCAGATTAGAGGGGATGTACGAACTGTGGTGTCTCAGCACTTCGGCGGTGGTCCAGGTAAAGTTCACTTTGTACATGGAAACCAATAGCATTCGTATTTTGTAATCATGTTACTTCAACTTTAATAATGTTATTTAAAGAATAACTGATCACTGATCACTGTCCTGCCGCTGTTCATCAATTTGCTCGAGTGGGCCCAGTAACATTGTGAAACTTGTTACTGTGTTTGACATATCGAATATGTCATGGGTAGCTTGCCAGGCTTTGCTGTGTGGGCGAAATACTCTTGGTAGCTTGCTGGGCTCTTCGAGAGAGGCGGAGGGATCCAACTCAGGTCGGCCATGTTGGCTGCATGCAAGGCAAACGTCCTACACGCTGTGCTATTGCTCCAGCCACAAAGAATAACTAAACCAAATAATCTAAATTCAGAATAAAAATACTAATAGCATTTTTAAGTGAATAATAGAAAAACAAAAAGTGTTAAATGTGCCTAATGCCTAGATCTTGTGTTCCCAGTCTGGGACTCCCTGCAAGTCCATGCTTCTTCCTCACATCCCTTAACTCCCCCTCTAAATTTCACCACCACCAAAAGAACTTTTAATTCTCAGTAATGTTTGGTTGAAAAGATAGTCTAGCACTTGCCTTGCATATGGCAGACGTGGGTTGGATCCCTAGCATCTCAGATGATCCCAAATTACTACCAGGAGTGATCCCTGAGCACAGAGACCGGAGTAACCCCTGAGCATTGCTGGGTTTGGCCCCACCGCCCCCCACACCAAAAGAAACCCAACTGCACAATTTTACACTTGACCTTCAAGAAGTCAGAAACTTTGTATGGTTCCCTAGGTAGAGCTGGAAGTATTAGGAAGTAAGTGAAGGCAAATACACATCTAATAAGAGTTGTTTTCCCCAATTTTGGGATCTCCAATGTTATTTCAGGGGCCAGAGAGATAGGACAGCGGGTAGGGAGATAGTATAGTGGGTAGGGGACTTGCCTTGCACACAAATGACCTGAATTCCATTGCCGACATACTATACAGTTTCCCAAGCACCAACAGGAGTGATTTTTTGAGCAGTGAACCAGGAGTAACCCCTGAGCATCACCAAGTGTGGCCCCCAAACAAAACAAAACAAATTATTTTATAGATTTTCTCAACATTGCACATTGACATATACTCTGGCAAATCCATTAACCTATACTTAGACATCTGTCCAGATTCAGCAATATGAAACTGAGGGCTAATAAACAAAAGTATTAGTTGGTAAAAGTATTAGTTGGCACGCATGAAGGTACCGGGCAGAGGAACAAAGGCATGCGGGTCCCGGGGCTGAGATCTCCAAGTCTGCTCGGATAGGGGCTGAGCATCCTCCACCCATATCCTCCATATTCCAGTAGGCAGAAGTCACACCCACCAACTGGCCCCCTGGCGCCGTGTAATCCCATCAGCGGCCAAGACCCAGAGACTATAAAACCCAGATCCCGGAAGAGAACAGCGCAGAGTCTCCTGCCCCCGCGCCTGGCTGTCCTCGCCAGGGCCCCTAGAGGGGAGTGGGTTGAGTTTCCCTCCCCGTCCCGACCAGGGCTCTGGCAGCCAAAGACCTCCAGAACCAGCCACCACCATGCTGAGACCGCTCTCTGCACGCATGAAGGTACCAGCAGAGGAACAAAGGCATACGGGTCCCGGGGCTGAGATCTCCAAGCCTGCTCAATTGGGGCTGAGCATCCTCCACCCAGATCCTCCATATTCCAGTAGGCAGGGGTCACACCCACCAACTGGCCCCCTGGCGCCATGTAATCCCATCAGCAGCCAAGACCCAGAGACTATAAAACCTAGATCCCAGAAGTGCGCAGCCACATTTGCGGCTGCGCAACACCTTATTATCTCATTCTAACTTTGGACAAAATGGTAGGCTACCAGATGTAACCTGCCCACAGGGCAGAGTCTGGCAAACTCCCCGTGGTGTACCCAATATGCCCAATACCAGTAACAATGATGGGGCTCATTCTTCTAACCCTGAAAGAGCCTTTAATATGGCACTTTTAAAAAATCTCAGGGCTAGGATGAAGGAGACGTTACTGGAGCCTGCTCAAGGCAATCGATGAACAACAGGATGGTCGTGATCGTGATCGTGATTAGTTGGTAGGTGGAGGATGGGTGCATTCAGAAGAGGATCTGATTTCTGGAGGAATTTCTTCGTTGTCTGTGACAGTAACCTATGACAGTAACAAGATTAGCACACCAAAGAGTTAAAGAGAAACAGCACCTTCCAACCCCCAGCTACTGTTTCTGGCTCCCCTGGTCCCAGCTGAACCAGCGAACCAGGGAACCAGCATGCAGCCTGGTCCTGGTGGTGTGGCCTCTGAGCCAGGGAGCCTGGCCTTTGAGCTAGGGGGCGTGGATAGGGGGAATGGCCTACTCTGAGGGCAGCAGTTATTTTCCCCTTTCCTAGCAATTTGGACTCATATCTTGACCTCCATCACGTAACTCGGGGGAGAATGTCTCGGCCATCTCTAATACATTAGGCCAATAATCCACTAGCTCATCCCAGTTGCACCATAATACCCATAGACATGTACAAGTCCAATGTAGAGGACTACATCCCCCGAAGCTCCACTAGAGGCCACAGAGGAGAACATGAGAGGAAGCCACAACTCCTGAAGGGGAAAAAGGCGACCACTAGACCGAGCTCACCCAGAATCCCCAAATTAACCAAGAGGGAAAACTCATAGTGAACTGTGGTTCCCACCTTCATACTACCACCACAACATGAAAAAACAGCACAGATCCCCACCACGCCAAGAGGGGAAGATGAAGAAAAAGGTCCAGAGGCCCCCAACAGGGTCTACTCACAAAAACAGTCTCTCCAATAAGGAATTCAGAATCAAAATGTTGAAGATGTTCAATGAACTCAAAGAAACAGTGGAACAGACATCCAGGAAATTAAAAGAGGACTTGAATGAAACAGTGAACAGGCAGCCAACAAAATACCGGAAGAAATGAGAGCAGAAATAGAAAAGCTGCAAACAAATGTCATGAATAAAGGATTTGATAGATGAAATAAAAAACTCATTGAGTGCCCTCACCAGTAGAATGGCTACAGCCGAGGACAGAATCAGTAAGCTTGAAGATGAGCACCAGAAAGCTTACAGACAACAACAGACCATGGGGAAAGACCTCAAAATAGCCCTGGGGTGAATCAGAGTCCTAGGGGATGAATCCAAGAGGAGCAAGTAAGAATCATCAGAGTACCAAAAGGACAGGGAGGCAACCCCAATGGAAAAGCCACAGTTAAACATATCATTGCCGAAAAGTTCCCAGAGCTGGAGAATGCAGGCATCCGGATCCAAGGAGCCCAAAGGGTGCCAAGTAAAAGAGACCCTAATAAAAAGACTCCAAGACACATCAGAGTCAGAATGATGGATGATATGGATAGAGACACGATCCTGCAAGCAGCAAGGCTGAAGAAGGAAGTCACATACAAAGGAGCACCCCGTACATTTACAGCAGACCTATCAGAGGAAACCCTCCAACCCCAAAAGCAATGGGGGGATATAGTGAAAAAACTCAATGAAATGAACGCCTCACCAAGAGTACTCTATTCAGCTAAACTCTCATTCTAACTCAGAAAGAATCATACACTATTTCATGGATAAACAACAGCTCAGGAACTTCATAGACAAAGCCAAACTTGAAAGAACCACTAAGAGGGCTTCTATAAGACAAGAAAACACCCTACAAGCACAACAAGTCCCTACAGAAAGATGGCACAAAACCCTCTAACAATAATCTCTCTCAATGTCAATGGTCTAAATGCACCAATCAAGAGACACAGTGGCAAACTGAATGCGGAAACTGAACCCAACATTCTGCTGCGTAGAAGAAAGTCATCTGAATGGTCAGAGCAAACACAGACTCAAAGTTAAAGGATGGAAAACAATCTTGCAAGCAAACACCTCCCTCAAAAAATCTGGGGTAGCCACACTAATATCTGACAACATAAATTTCAGGTTGAAAAAGACTAGAAGGAACAGCAAAGGTCATTTTCTGTTTATCAAGGGATATGTGTAACAGGAAGAAATCACACTCTTAAATGCATACACACCTAATGAGGGATCAGCTAAATGCTTAAAACAACTGCTAACAGATTTCAAGGAGGACATTGCTAGCAACACAATAGTAGTCAGAGACTTCAACATTGCCTTATCATCTCTGGATAGATCAACAAGAACAAAACTCAGCATGCTAGACATTGACTTTGAAGGAAGAAATAGTAGAGAGAGGGCTAATAGACCTATACAGGGCTTTACACCCCAAAAAGAAAGAATACACATTCTTTTCCAGTGCACACATAACATTGTCCAAAATAGAAAGGCCACATGTAAGGTCACAAAACCGACCTCAATAGAATCCGCAAGATAGAAATAGTATCAACAATCTTTTCAGACCACGATGTGTTGAAGATAGGAACGAAGCATACGCAGACACGGAGAGACAAATCAAACACCTGGAAATTAAACAACTCAAAGTTGAACAACGAGTGGGTCAGGAAGGAAGTCAAAGACGAAATCAAAAGATACCTGGAAACAAATGTGAATGAAGACACGAGCTATCAGAACCTATGGAATGCAGCTAAAGCTGTGTTAAGAGGAAAAATGTATAGCTTTGCAAGCATTCCTAAGGAAGGAAGGGCCTCTTAGATAACCTGACCTCACAGCTCACGATCTTAGAAAATAACCAAAAAAAGGAACTCAAGCCCCGCTGAAGGAAAGAAATAATAAAACTTAGAGCAGAAATCAGACATGGAAACCCAAAAAACAATCCAAAAGGTTAGTGAAACCAAGAGCTGGTTCTTTGAGAAAATAAACAAGATTGATAAGCCACTAGCAAGACTCACAATGAAAGAGAGAGAGCCCCAATAAACCGAATCAGAAATGAAAAAGGGGACATTGCAACAGAAACCAATGTAATTCAAAAGATTGTCAGAGGCTGCTTTGAGAGTCTGTATGTCATGAAACAAGATAACCTAGAGAAATGGATATGTTCCTGGATTCCTATAATCTCCCAAGACTGAACCAAGAAGACTTGGATTGCCTGAAAAGACCCATTCATATCAAGGAAATCAAACCGAAATCAAGTCTTCCCAAAAACAAAAGCGCAGGCCCAGATGGATTCACTAGCGAATTCTTCCCAATATTTAAAGAAGACCTTTTGCCAGTTCTCCGCAAGCTTTTCCATGAAATTGAAAAAAAAAACAGGAACTCTCACAAACAGCTTCTATGAGGCACTTATCCTCCCCAATACCAAAAGCAAACAAGGACACCACTAACAAAGAAAATTACAGGCTAATATCTCTGATGAACATGGATGTGAAGATCCTCAAGAAAATATTCACAAATAGAATCCAACAACTCATCAAAAAGATCATACACCACGACCAAGTGGCATACATCCCGGGGATGCAAGGATGGTTTAGCATTTGGACGTCAATCAACATAATCCATTATATCAACAAAAGTAAAAATAAAAACCATATGATCATATCAATAGAAACATACCAATATTTCACCAGGAATACCACTCCTGGGAATATATCCCGGAGAGGCAAAAAATTACAGTCCAAATGACATCTGCACTTCTATGTTCATTGCTGCACTGTTCACAGTAGCCAAGCACTGTAGCACTGTAACGCTGTCCTCCCATTGTTCATCAGTTTGCTTGAGCAGGCCCAGTAACGTCTCAGTTGTAAGACTTGTTGTTACTGTGTTTGGCATATGAATACGTCACAGGTAGCTTGCCAGGCTTTGCTCTGCAGCCGAGATATTCTCAGTAGCTTGCCAGGCTCTCCAAGAGGGTCAGAGGAATTGAACCCAGGTCAGTCTGGTGGGCCGCGTGCAAGGCAAACACCCTACCCACTATGCTATTGCTCCAGCCCACAGTAGCCAAAATCTAGAAAAAACCCGAGTGCCCGAGAACAGATGACTGGTTAAAGAAACTTTGGTACATCTACACAATGGAGTACTATGCAGCTGTTAGAAAAGATGAAGTGATGAAATTTACATATAAGTGGTACTACATCGAAAATATCATGCTAAGTTAAATCAGTCAGAAAGAGCGGGACATAGAAAGATTGCATTCATCTGTGAAATATAAAGTAACAAAATGGGAGACCGTCACCCAAGAATAGTTGAGATAAGTACCAGGAGGTTTGCTCCATGGCTTGGAGGCCAGCCACATATGCTAGGGGAAAAGGCAGCCCAGATAGAGAAGGGAGCAGCAAATCAAGAGTGTTGGGAGGATCCTCCCAGGATGGGAGATGCATGCTGAAAGTGGACTATAGACCGAACATGATTGCCACTCAGTTCCTCTTTTGCAAACCACAGCACCCCAAAAGAGAGAGAGAGAACCAAAGGGAATGCCCTGCCACAGAGGCGGGTGGGATGGGAGGAGGGGAGGGGAGTTGGGAGGTATACTGGGATCATTGGTGGTGGAGAATGGGCACTGGTTGAGGGATGGGTACTCAATCATTGTATAACTGAAACCCAAGCACAAAAATTTGTAAATCTAAAATGGTACCTCATGGTGTTTCACTAATAAAAATTAAAAAAAAAGAAAAGAAATCATAGTTGATCTGTAAAGAATCTAACTGAGCAGCAAATATTTGTCCTGAAGACTGGGTACTTGGTCCTTGGGGACCAGTGGAATAATCGTATGATTATCGTTTGTGTGTTTGCTTGTTTGGCAGCATCCTCAGAAGTGCTCAAAGTTTACTCCTAACTTTGTGTTCTGGGGTCAGAACTGGTAAGGCTTGAGGGAGCGTATGGGGTGCTGGGGATAAGACCCAGGTTGGCTGCCTACAAGACGAGGACTTTATCTGCTCTACTGTCACTCTGCCCCCCAGTTGAATAATCCTAAATACATGTACTGAACTCCATGCCCTATTTATTCTGAATAAATAGCGATGATCACTTTGTTTCTCCTTCTGTTTTTGCCAGTCACAGATGTAAATTTAGGGTTTCCTGTGCCCCCCCCCCCCACACACACACACCATACGGCACTTGTTCACTGATTACTAGTTTACTTAGCTGGAACTTATGTCTGTAGATGCTCCCAAAATTATCCCCAGTTATCTTTCATGATCAAAAGCATGCTCTTCCTTTTTGACAGATGAAGAAGAATACATCAGTAATATGGATGGGGAGTTCATGAAGGCTTTACTGGCCCGAAAGAAGAGTACCAGCACCGAGCTGACGATTGAACCAGAGAAGGCCTCATCCGAGAGAAACAGCCTGTCCCTTTTCCAGCACGAGCACCTAGACAACAGTCATCAGCGTGATATGCTTACTAGACTAGAATCCATAATGTCTTTGTTACAGGTTGGGGACATAGATGCAGAATCAACATTGTTATCCTTCATTAAGTTTCTTTTTAAAGATGTGCAAGATGGAGGAAATCCTCTGGCTCCTTCGAAAACCAGCACGGCTTGGATTTCTATACAGCCCGAATCCAACAGTGAAATCTACAATAAGGTGAAAAAAATCCATGTTCTCCAAAGTCTGATCAACACAGAAATTCAAGAAAAAATCCACAAAGTTAGAAAGAAGGAGAAAACTGCCACACAGGTCCGTTCCAGTCTTTTCGGGCCCAAATTTAAACGCCAACTTTTCCCGAAGATATTGGAAACTGTCGGGCCACCAAAGAAAAAACACTTAGGAAATGTTCAGGAGTGGGAGACGCAACCACTGCAAGGGAGCAGCATGTTCAGGGATCCCCAGGGCCAGCAGAAGAGGCACTTCAAAGAAGAGGGCACTCCCCTCAGCCAGAGGCGAGGGAAGGCTTGGTCCGCGGCGGGGAATATTGCCCAAGAAAGACGGCAGGGGCAGCTGGCCCCGGAAAGACCGAAAGACTTTATCTTGGCAGGGAGGCCCAGGAAATTGGTGGAAAGCTCCTTCAACGAGGAGTCATCCTTCATCCAGGAGCACAGGGCGCCGGCCTCCGTGCCCCTGGAACAGCACTCCATGGGCAGCCTGTCTGCCGCCGCTGCTTTCCAAGTGCCACCGGAGGACGAAATCCCATCCAAAGACCTGAAAAGAACTCTACGCGTCTTAGAGGATGCGGGCGCTCGAGTTCGGAACATGAAGGTTCCTAGCCCCGGGCCACTCACCGGGAAGAACTACCTGTTTCGTAAACTTTACTCTCAGCTGGGCCGCAGAATACCCCAGGCCAGAGTGAACACAGCGACAAAAGAAGCAGCACCGCAGAGGCCGGTGCTGGCCAGGAGGCCTCCTTTCGGTGCAGTGAAGAGCCTCGTCAACTCCCCGCCGAGGGGGGGGTCTCTGTCCTGGAGACACCAGGACAAACCTGTCACGGAGCCATTCCTTTCATTGCGCTCCAGCCAGGAAAAGAAGACCGCGGAGAGCACGCGTGCTCCAAACGGGGGGGATGCCAGAAGCATCGTGCCGCCAGAGAAAACTGCCGGTATCCAAAGCACTGCCCCTGAGGAGGAAGAGGGGACGGAGGACAGCCTCATGCCTGCTGTCAGACAGCCCAACGAGATGCAGTGGGAATATCACAAGGTGGCCACCGACATCGACTCTCCCCCACAGAAACCCGACCCCAGAGACGAACTTGAGATGCAGCTCATCCAGAAGTTGCGGCCCCTTATTCCCAACAGTAATGTGAGGAAGTTCATTGCCCAAGTAATTCGGACTCTGAAAATGGACTGCTCCGATCCCCGGGTGCAACTGGAGTGTGCCAAGGTGGTCCACAAAACCGGGCTCCTGATGAAGCTTCTTAGTGAGCGGCAGGACGTAAAGGTGTCCAGTGAAAAATGGGATACGGACCAGTGGGAGGCTGAGAACTACATCAATGAGAATACCGAAGGCCAGGGTGAGCAGAAACAGGCGGAGGCAAGTGAGGTGAGGACAGACTTTTGTTTTTTTAACGGAGTCTCATGCAGAGTGAAATAAGTCAGAAGGACAGACATAGAATGATTGCACTCATTTATGGGACGTAAAAATAATTAAAACTTACTATGAGATTAACACCCAAGGACAGTTAGAAACAATGGCCAGAATGAATGGTCCACGGTTGGAAGCCTGCCTCAAGGGCTGGCAGAGAAGGCAGCTGGGATAGAGAAGGGATCACTGTAACAATGATAGTTGGAAGGGATAGCTCTGGGTGGGAGATGTGTGCTGAAGTGGGTACAGGATCAAACATGATGACCTCAGTATCTGCACTGCAAAACATAATGCCCAAAAGGGGGGCATGGAGTGAGCGGAGAGAGTAAGAGAGGGGGGGGAGGGAAGAAAGGGGGAAAGAGGGGGGGTGGGAAGAGAAAGGGAGGAAGAGAGAGAGAGAGAGAGAGAGAGAGAAGAAAAGTTCCTGCCATAAAGGCAGAGGTAGGCTGGGGGCGGGGAGGAGGTGGCAGGAGGAATGCGGGGATTTTGTTGGTGGGTAATGTACACTGGTGGAGGGATGGGTGTTGGAGCATTGTCTGACTGAACCTGGATCACGATCAGGAAAGCTTTGTAACTGAATCTCACAGTGACCAGGCTCAGGGGCTTCCGGGCTCTCAGGCCATGCCATGAAAGAACACAAGCAAGAAGACCAGGGTGTCTTGACTCTCCCTCTCCTGCTGGCTCGCTCTCTTTTTTGTGGCCACACAACTTTGACTACAAGAATGATTGTCCCTGTGCTCGTTTGTAGAAAGGTAGCACTGTTCCTAGGAGAGGTAAGAAGAGGACCTAACACACCAGATAAATAAATTGTAGAAGGAAAGGCTACAGACAAGATGGCATAATAGATCTGGTGTGCTCTTTAAGAACATATTGGGGCCTAGTTCATGCCCAATTTAATCAGCTAATCAGTGACTGAATAAATAGCAGTACTCCTACATTTGAAAAAAAAAGAAAAAAAGAACATATTGGGGCCAAGGAGATAGTTCAAAAAGAGTCCCCATGAGTACTGAGCGAGAAGTAGCTCTGAGGACCCTGGATATGGGCTGAAAAACAAACCACCCCAAAATAAAACCACATACAAAATAAAAACCTATAGTCCACTCCTTTCAGAGGATGGGGTTTTAGACTAGTAGAAGGATAACCATTCTTTAGAACGGGCTTAAGAATCCTTCCCATCTTTCTGTCTAATTGTTCCTGGGTATTGAAGCGATAGTACAGTGGGTAAAGCACTTACTTTGCATGCCACCAACCCGAATTCTATGCCCAGCGTCCATTTTGGTCCGCCAGGAGTGATTTCCGAGTGCAGAGCCAGAGTAACCCCTCATCATCACTGAATGTGGCCCCCACAAAAGTAATGCATGAAAATAATTTTTATTTTTCAGCTCATAAAAGTTCCAGGATATGTTGTGTACCACAATCAAAAAGCAGTCGTTGCAATAAATGTGGCTGTCGTCGTGATATTATTGGTTTTAATTTTATGTCTCATTGAGGTAAGAACAGTTCATTCAGACTTCCAGGATTTCATCTGTCTTTATAATAGATTCAGGGGCTACAAATGGAAAATAAAAGCCCCTTTTCCTCCTACTGATGCTTGATTTTCCTCTTCAGTCTTGAGTAATGAGGTGTGGTTGCTTCTCATATTGCAAAGATAATCCCAGGGTTTGTTGAAGGGAACTGACTCCCAAGAGTTCCCTGTGGAAATGAACCCAAATAACAAGCTTTTCGAAAATTTTGAAAAGTTAAGAAGGCTAGAGATGAAACAAAAAGTCGTCTTCCTGTGCGCTGTTTGGGGACTACATCCTGGGATGTTCAGGGCCTGCCCCCAGCTCAGTGTGGAGGGGAGAGAGGGTGTCACTTCTGGTGGTGCTCAGGGGACCTTGCAGAACTAGGGATCCAGCCTGGCCCTTCTGCATGCAAAGCATGCACTCTGACCATTCAGCTCTCTTTCTGGTCACCATATCGACTTTCCCCACCCCCCCTTTTTAAATCAAAAGGATGTCAGTGGTACTGACATTCTTCTACTGATTACTTTCCTTGTTGACTGGAAGGATCAAAAGTGTAGAATCTCCACCCTCCTAGGACCTGATCCAGTGCAGTAGCTCTCATTAGGTTTAAGCACCATCTCCCTGGATGAAGTTAAAACACTGCAGCTAAGACTGGGGAGAGAACTCTGAGGGCTACTTTTCACGCTTTGCGTGAGGGAGACCTGGGTTCCATCCTCGGCAATGCATGACCTCCCCCGTCCCCCCCCCCCCCCCGAGCCACCAGGAGCTACCCCTAAACAGCAAATCAAGTTGTTCCTGCCTATTACTGGGTGGCTCCCAAACCAAACACACCCGCATTGCAGCCTGAGCCCGAGCTGGGCTACTCTCAAGCCTGGCAGCGTGCGGTAGTTACTCCAGGAGCTTGCCTATATCTGTCTTCTGTTCAATGACACACCACTGACTTTTCCCAGCAGGAACATTAAAAAAAGTGATTTAAGGGCCAGGGAGATAAGTCCAAAGACTCAAACTTCAATTCACTTTGCACATGGGAACCCCAGGTTCTAGCCATAGTGCTCCATGGTCCCTGAGCACCACCCCAGAAGTAGGCCCCGGAAGCACCAGCTGGCAGGAAGAGCCTCAAAAAATGAACAACAGCAACATGGGATGGAAGGGGTTCGGGATATAGGTTAGTGGTGTTGCACTTGTCTTGCAGGTGTGAGGCCCTGGGTTCAATCCCTGGTAGCACCACAACCACCAACAAAGAATTAGAATAAATTAGAAGCCATGGTGCTGAGGAAGAGCTCTCTGAGTCTTTGATATGTTTAAGCCGCTCCTTTGTGATGTCATCAGCAAACACAGCTCTGATTTATGACAACCACAGTACAAGGAGTTTCCTATATTTTGTCTGGTTTAATCCTCGCAATCCTCTAAGGACGGCATTAGGATCCCTCCAATTTTGCTCTTCTTGTCGTGCTGGGTACCGACCCCACGTCTCCTGCATGCAAGGCAGGCGTTCTCCCACTGAGCTACCTCCCCAGCCCTATCATCCCGCTTTCAAACATGGGGGTCACCTGCAAAGCAGCCCGTGCTCCTTATTGCACTGTTCTGTTTTATCTCCTTAAGGACAAAAGCACAGAAATGTTTCAGGTATTGAAATTTCAGTCTAAGTCGCTCAAAGAGTTGACATATTGATTTAGTTATTTATTTGGGGCAACAGCCATCTGTGCTCAGGGCTTATTCCTGGCTCTGCTCTCAGGCATCACTCCAGGTGGGGCTCAGGGAACCATCTGGAGTCCTGGGATCGAATCTGCGTCAGCCACGGTCAATGCAAGTGCCCCACCCACTGTATGATATCTATAGCCCGAGGAATAACATATCTCATAGGACCTTTATTGTTTTGGGTTTATTTGGGGAAGAATCATTGCAAATGCAACCAAGTTTTGTCTCCTGTAAGACTCGACTCTGCTTGCTGCATTGATGAGGTCTCCTCACTGGGGATGCAGAGTGGTGATGGGAAAGGCATCAGACTGGTTCTTGACATTGTTTAGAAAACGTTGTGAAAAAGGATGTTTCTGTGTTTGGGTTTTGGCAGATACTTTTAATTACCTACCTCATAGTTTTTTATTTGGATTAATGTGCTGAATTTCTCTGAAACAGTCACTAAGCTGTATTCCTAACGTGCCCCTTCAGTCATGTGCTGTAGGAGAGTCCAGGGACTATTAAACAGGAGAGAATTCCTGTTCTCAAAAAGTGATATCAGTGGGTAGATACAGCAAAGTCAATGGAATTAATAAGGTTTTAGAGAGATCAGTCACCGAGATAATCATGATCATATTTTTTTTTCCAAACAGATTTATTCTTGTAGAGCAAGACAGTGTAAAGATGGAAGATCCAGGTAAATATTAGTCTGACAATCTTTCACTTGCACTGGAGTGTCCTCCCCCTGGTTCTTGGGGACTCTGGAGCCCTTCTGTGTGCTTCTTGGCCCGTGACCTGGGCCTCCTGAGTTCAGTATTAGTGTCTTAGGGCTCTGCAAGGCCGGGCTGCTCAGTCCCTCCTGTGGGGTGGCTGTTACCTATGCCAGCCCACCTGTGCTCAGGGAGGACATGCGGAGCCAGAAGCCAAAGTTGGAGCCTCATGTCCAAAAGGCCCTTTTAACTAGCTCGAGACTACTCCAGCCTCAGTGCTCAGTGTGGTGCAGGAATTGAACCCAGGGCCTCACACATGCAAGCCAAATACTTTACCACTGAGCCACATCCCCCAACCTCTATCTCGGTCTCTTATTAAAAGGAATAGAGGGAAAATGGAAACTACCTTGCCCTTGGGAACACACTGCTGGTGATTGGGAAAGAGCATGGTCCCTGTCCCTTGGGACCTCTCCGTTGAATTGGGAGCTGCGTTTCTTGCCTCCACTCAGCACCCACGGGCTCTGTACACTTAATAACACTGCCCGTAAAGTGCAAGACTGCTCTCTCCTCTCTTCACTCTCAAAACTCATCTCCGTGCCTCGGTGTGGTTCCTGCCTTTGATGCTGATACCTGTGGCTTCTTTGCTCATGGGCGATTGTCTGCAGCATGAAAACTAGTGGGCTAAAGGATTTGGCTAATTGCACACAGGCATTTACTCTGGTTCAGCATCTGGGATGAAGCAGCTAGGACGATAGAATCATCTCCCCCAGCCCCAACTTCCGGTAAAGGGTGCCTGAGGGACTAAATCCAGAGGCGACCAGTGGAAAAGCTTCTGGACAGACTCTAATGCTTTTGGTGTGGTGGGTAGTTTGTTCATTGCACAGGGCATTTGCTGGGGCAACGGTGGTAACCAGAACTAAATATCCTGCCTGTTTTCCAAGCCAGGCTACCTATAAAGGTCTTTCAAGAGTCTACGGGGTCCCTTTGAATGGACCCGACAAATTTCTAAAAATCGCCACAGGCATGCATGGAAACTTTGTCAAGGGGTCAGGTCCTAGTGGTTTGACTCGTCATGGCTCCAGACCAAGGTAGTTTCCAAACAAGACCAGAGACCTCCATCCTAGGAAGGATGGGAAATGGGGTGGGTTACGAATCATGTGCGTCCGTGTTTTCCTCCAAGGACCTTCTTTGGATTATTGCTGCATAGAAGTTCAGTGGAACATGAGAGTCAGGTAACCACTGGGGGGAGGCGGCACTTAGGCAGGACAAGAGTGGGCCGTGGTGCAGGCTTACGAGCTCCCCTTGCCTTTTCCAGAAGGGCTTTTTCTGGCGAAGACGGCCCCAGTGACTGAGAGACATGTGTCAGCCACTCAAGGCCACACGTAAGAAAAACATGGCACAAAAGCTCCATGACAAGGATTCCTCTGATGAGGATGAGATTTTCAGTAAAGACGCAGGGTAAACCATGGGAAAAGCTCCAATACCTTCCTGAAGTCAGGAAGTGATGCAGACGGGGCACGTCCCTTTCAAGAGCTGACTGTATTCTTCTTGTTCCAGGGAGCTCAGGAAAGTCTTGAAGACAGCAGCACGGACTCCGGAGGAGAAAGCAGCCAAGGAGACCAAGACAGCCAAGACTCCCAAGACCCAGGGAGCACAGGGGACACAGGCACCACAGCGCTCCCCACCACCAATTGTCCCCCTGGCACGACAGACCAGCGAGCCTCCACATGGCTCCCTAGAACCACAGAACGCAGAGTCACCACACTCCATCGGGTCTTCACAGCCCGTCGCAGCACGACAGTCCGTCAAGACTCTGCAGACCCCTCATGTGCAGCAGATCTTCAGATCCCAGGAGATCCTGTCATCCCCGGAGATTTCAGATCAAACGGATGAGTAACAAAAGGAGTCTTCACAGGCAGCTGTGGTGTTAGAGGCCCTACAGTGAACACCTCCTGCTTCATACCACCTGGACATTTTATTGTCTGAAGAGCCTCTTGGCAGTTGCTGTAAAATTCTTCTTTTTCGTATGTTAAATACATACATGCATAAGAGCAGTGATGGGCTTTCAAATTAACACGAGAGTTCATCGATCATGTAACCAATTAAGGCTGTTGGCAGGAAATGCATGACTAGAATCCCTCCCAGAGGTGGGGATGAGGTCCGCGAGGAATGGATGGGATGGGAGGATGGGAGGCTCCCCGTGTGGTCCCCTGCCAAGCGCCCTCACCACCCCCAGCAGCCAAATGTAGACGCGGGTGCGTAGCCCGGCACTTTGGGCGCTCGGTGGTCAGTAGCTTGGGGGACATGGCACTTAAGGGGGGTGTCTGGACTGCCCCCCCCGGGAGGCTTCAGTGGTGAGCTAGCATGAGGGGCCACCCCTGCTGCGTGGCCAGGGTTTCTCCTCACCTTCTCTTCCCCTGGGCAGTGCTGGGGTTTGTGTGTCTGGCACTGGCGTTGGATTCCCTGGGCTGGCCACCTGCCTGGTAGGCATCAGCCAAGTCCCTGAAGGTGAGTGCTGGTTCCTCAGTCACTCCCTCCACTGCAGGGGCGGGAACCAGGCCTTCCTTCCTGGTGCTGGCCCGGGAAAGTGGAGAGTGCCACCATGTGGTCGCAGAACGCTGTGTGAGTTGTCCTGGCACATGTTAAGGCCTGTCACCCTGTGCTCCCCCGCTAGGACTGTTTGCTGGTCAGCCCCAACAACCATCCACTCGGGAGCACTTGGCGATGAGTCTTGTAGTTAAGGGAGTGGGTAAGTGGGTCCTGGGGAGGTTACTGCCAGGGTGGGCACAGGAGCCATCGAATTTGTTTCTTCTTTCTGCGGGTGCCCGATCACTGAATTTTGAACATTTGAGACACTCCTGGACCCAAGGAACTGTGACATCAGAGCAGCACACACACTTGTCCCATGCGTGGTAGGTGCACATTCCCTCCACATTCTCTTGACCGGACAGCAGAGATTTGGTTATTTCACAGCTGTGGATACGGACCCCAAGGAGAACCCATCATCTCTGTGCCGCTTCTTTGAGTCTCATTCCTTTGAGCCTCCTTAAGGTGCCTCCAGGATCCCCCTCCTTGAGACTGGACTCCTCAGAGATGCCAGGAAGTCCTGAGGTGCCAGGACTGGTTTTCTCCTTCTGCAGCTGTGTGTAATGGGAGGAGCTCTCCGGAGGCTCCTCTGATGATGTGTGTCTTCACTTCCCTTTCTCGCCAACTGAGGCACCTGCCCCATCCCTCTCTGGATTTGTGTGGTGCTGGGGATCAAACCCAGCCAGCGAGTGAGTCACTGGTGACAGGAGAGACAGTCATGGCAGGGAAGGGGCTGGGCCTGGCCATCCACAGCTCACATTGTACATGTAGGGCCCAAATGCTCAGTATCTCTTGAACAAACAATGCTGTTCTCACCAGAGGCCCCCACGCCAAAGATCAGAGCTGGACCCCTTAAGACACATGCACGAGTGAGCTCAGAGTGTGAAGTGGCATGAAAAAACTGAGGTGACAGGACTGCAGCAATAGTATAATGAGTAGTAACGCCGCTTGCACTTGCCTTGTGTCCAACTGACCCGGGTTCAATCCCCAACACAACATATGATGCCTCGCGTCCTGCCAAGAGTGATCCCTGAGCTCAGAGCCAGGAGTAAGCCCTGAACTCCACTGACTGGCCCAGATCCACGATAAATTCAGCTTTGAAAGTTCGTAAAGAACAGAGTCAGTTTCGCAGTTGCTGAGGACAGTAGCATAGAGACCAAAACCAGGCTAGTTCAGGTGGTCATCCTCAAAACGTTGTCAGTTCCTGCGGTGCCATCAGGAAAGTAAAAACACGGCCCAAGGCATACAAAGTTTGGCCAGAGCTGTAGCATAGCGGGTCGGTGTTGCCTTGCAGCACCCAACCAGGTTTGATCCTCAGCACCCCATATCTTTGAGTAACTTCTGAGCATATCCAGATGTCGCAGGGGAAGAAAAGAAAATTTCTGTACAAGCTCAGTACAGACGCACCCATCACCATCACGGTGGCCTAGTGATGTAGTGTTTCCCACTGGTCGGTGGTGGGCCTCGGGGCAGAGGGTCAGCTGGAGCCACAGGAGTCCAAGCAGGTCTGGAGAAACGGCCCCTGTGCACAGTTGCCGGGGATGTGAAAGGGTGCAGAGTTCCTCAAAAAGATACAGAAGGCCGGGAGGAGGAGGAGCCACAGTGGGTCAGGAGCTTGCTTGGCATGCAGCTGACTCGGGTTTTGATCTTCTTCCGCCCCTCCCCCTTCCTGGCATCCTTTGTGGTCCCCTGAGCCCAGCAGGAGTAATTCCTAAGTGCAGAACCAGCCAGATGGAACCCAAAAACCCTAGAGTCTGTAGGGCAAGGGGGGGGGGGCAACATTTTTATTGAATAACTCTTGGCCCATTCCTGTCATGGGAGAAAACTGTTTGCAAATGTGGAAGCAGCCTAATGGGGCAAGAGCAAAGGCCACAGATGAGGGCAGTTGAAAGGGAGCATGGGAAGGGCCACAGGAGGCCAGAGCAGAGAGCCACAAAGGAGACCCAGGGAGTGGCCCCAGGGGCTCAGAGAGCACTGGGTCAGGGTGGATGAAGCCAGAACCAGTGTCTTGTCTCCTCAGGGTGAGGTGGAAGCTGCACTGTGAGGGCCGACCACTCTTTCCCTGCTTCACAGGCTGTCACCTGGAATGAGGCGGGGGTGGGGCGGGGGGAGGGAAGCCGACCTACTGTGGAGTTTTCCAGAACTTGTCTCTCTCCTCACTTGGGGATTCTCCACTTTGTCCTTTGCTTTCATTCTGTGTCACTTTCTTCCCTTTCCCTTCAGAAACCAAATGGAACCAGAGCCTCAGGACTAAAGGGTTTCCAAGGGCTGCCTCCTCGTTCCCATGCAATTCCAGGCCCCTAGCTCCTGACTGTCATTCGTAAAACCAAGGGGGCCCCGATGATGTTTCTATATTTGGGGGCTTATTAAAGTGGCCCTTGTACGAAGAAAGTGATCACATTTTCCTGATCGAATTTGAGTGCCTACTGCAAGCGGAGCACTCAGGGTACTAGAAGGAAGATAAAACCTGTTGTCCGCAACATGTTCATCGTGAAGTGGAAACCGTGCGAACAGTTTCACAGGGAATAGGAGAGGCAATGGACGCTGTAATTATTGGCCTGAAACAATATCAGCCTCCAGTAACTTATCCACAGCCAGTTGTGTTTTGTGGAGAGAGAAAGCTCGGGTGCAGCTTAATGATCTGGTACGGAGGCATAGAAAATAGGGGTGGGCAGAGGAAGCGTGTCAGAATGCCAGTGATTTCAGGCTGCTTGGAAGAATGGACTAGAGTTCAGATCATCTTTCAAAAGTCCTGGATAGAATCTATGTCTTTTGTTTCAGGGAGAGGTCTTTGGGATGCCGATATGGAATAAAACCTGTTTAAGGACAATCCAGGGCAATTTTCAGAAAAGGGACAGATGGAAGCATGTCCTGCACGTAACACCCATCAGTCCTGATAAAACTGGGGTGCGCCTTGAATCCATCATGTTCCTACTTCGAGTTTTAACTACAACAGTCATAAAATGAGAAATGATGATGTGGTAGCTTCTAGACTTGTAGATTTCCAGAACAGATAAAAAAAAACAATACAATTAAGACCATGATCAAAGATTTTCCACTTTTAAAACAATTTTAAGACTGAAGGGGATAAATAAAAATATCTTCCTTTTCATAAAAAAATTATTAGCGTTGTAGAAAGGTCACACTTGATTAATGGAACCAATTTTTTTCTTAGAAAAGAAGAACATTGGTTATATTATCCTTTATTTTTTGGGGGGTTTGTGTGTGGGGGGGAACCTGGTAATGCCCAGGGGTTTCTCCTACCTCTGCACTCAGGAATTACTCCTGGTGGTCCTCAGTGGACCATACGGGATGCTAGGGATTGAACCTGGTCATCTGCATGCAAAGCAAATACTGTACCTGTTGTCCTATCACTCTGACCCCTGAATATATTATTCTTTTTTCAAGGACCAGGCAAAATATCACAGATGTGATTTGGTGCTGTCCTGACTCTGCTGACCTGAGTTCCATTCCCATATGCATAAATGGTCCCCCAGCCCCTTCCAGGGGTTCAGTGATGCCTGAGCATAAAGCCACGAGTCAGTTTGAGCATCACCGGGTGTGGCCCCAAAAGAACACAATTCCATCTGACACTAACACTTTTTCCCCCTTTTGAGTCACAGGGGTTATTCCTGGCTCTGCACTCAGGAATTACTCCTGATGGTGCTTGGGGGACCCTATGGGGTGCTGGGAATCTAACCCGGGTCGGCCACATACAAGGCAAACGCTCTGCCCACTGTACTGTTGCTCTAGCCCCTGACACTAACATTACAGATGGGTAGGACCTGCTTGCCTCCCAGGCCGTTGCTCCACCAAATAGCTACAGGGAAGCTAAGAACAGCCTCTCGGGCACCACGAGCTCCCATGTTGGAGCCACTACTTGAATCAACTCGATTCCCCAGTTTCTGCCCTGATCTCAGCTCTGACATCATCCTGGCCCCACAAACTCACCTTCATAATAGTCCAGTATCCTGTGGGGTCGGGATTGCGGTGGGGAGGAAGGAAATTGTTTTTTTTTTAATTTTTTAATTAGTGAGACACCAAGTAGACTTACAAATTTTGTGCTTGGGTTTCAATTATACAATGATCAAATACCCGTTCAGGCGGGCCTAGCACTGACAAAAATTTTTATGATCTGCCTCTTCCACAAGGTCAGCGCTCCTCATTTTCCAGTTTCACTAGGTGGTCCTCTCTGTCTGCTACCCAAAGTTCCCTGATGAACAAGAACCCGCTGCTTTCTCCAGGTCCTTGCCCAGTGTCCTTAAATTAGCTCTCTGTATCTAATCCCGGCGACCAATGGCTCCGAGATGAGATACAACAATTTTCATACACTTTCCTTTATGGAAACCTTTTTGGATCATTCTTAGTTATTTATAGCAAGCAATACAAAATACATTTTTTAAAAAATTTTTATTAGTGAAACACCATGAGGTATAGTTGTAGACTTAGAAATATTTGTGCTTGG